ACGTTGAGAAGTGCAATAACTTTAAAGCGAGATAAAAAGAAGATAAAACTGAAAGCAAACACCAAACCGAATACTTTTTGTAATTTATTTGGCTTATTTATTGTAGGGTTATTTTTTTACAAATATTATGTATGGCGTGTTTGTCAAGCAGATATTTATTACAACTTAATCATTTGTTAGGTACGTAACTGAATGTTAGCAAAAACAATATAACTATATTTACGTATGGTTTTATTAAATGGTTCTTTTGCTTTTCATCTGCAAAAATAATATTAAGTTTGTTTTGTCAAGTTAAAATTCTTCGCCATTTGTTAAAACTAGACATCTAAGTCACATAATATGTTACACCAATGGAGAAAAATATCATTTACTCCCTTCAATTAATTAAAATGTAAACACAGTAAATGCAAGCAGCTTAATTGTACACGTGGTAAAGTAGTGAATGATATTTAACGTATATTGTACAAGTATACTACTCCCCGCGGGTACCGCGTCCTTGCCTATTCCGGTGCAATCAGAAAATGTGTTTCTTTACATACTGAACGGGACCAATTGAATGATTCCATCATTAAAGTGAAAGTGGAAGTGCTGCTTTTTTAATTTGGATAAAAATTGTTAGAAATATTTTCATTTTAAATAAATTTCTGTCATTGATAGGAAAATCCAAAACTACCCGAGTGTGTTGGAAATATTTTTAAATTTTACCCCACATTTACCAGTTAAACTGATAATTTCATGTTCTGACAAGTGAAGGTCGTCTGCTGAAACTGTAGTGACGTCATATTTTATTGAAAAAGTTCTACTGAAGCCAAAAAGGGCCATCAATTTACATACCACGGTACCATAGTGCTCTCCGTTTAAGCTGCCATTCAAAACATGGCTGAATGACCATAGATGTTTCTAATTTAAATCATTGAGTTATTCTATGAATGACAGGTGTATTTTAAAGGCAAGATGTGACAGTTAAACACAATTTATTAAAATAGTAAATACAAGTTCTTTTTATGTGTACAATTTGCTGGAAATAATAAGAACAGTGGTACCATAGGGGACCATCCTATATGTTGAACGGTTTACACATTGTTTAGGAAAATATCTACATGTACTTCCATCTTAATTAGGCACACATTTGTGTAAATTTAGAACAATTTACCACCTATTACCCGTTGAAAAAGGCAGACATTTGGCAATTGATCGTTATCGTAGATGTTTATTATGTCCACATCAAGTTATTGGTGATGAATTCCACTGCTTATTTGAATGTACATGTTTTAAGTAAATCTCTTCTTTCTAGTTTTTACATTCATCCCAATATGTTTAAACTTGACTGAATAATTAAAAGTTAAAACAACGCTAATAAAACTATATCTATTTTTGTAAAAAAAAAACAACATTATATTAAAATTTAGATAATGTATCTCCTTCCCCATTACTTTTCTCGTTTGTTTCATCGTAAATGTGTATTGTTCTCTTAATTTTTGTTTATTTTACCTAGTCATAGTTGTATTCTTTTATATGTGATGATTTTCTGTTATGATCGTTATTTTTATTCATTTAATAATTATATCAAGTAACATACTACATACGTTGGTTTACAAAAACTGAAACTGAAACTATTTGAAATTCGTTGAAACTTTATTTACATATGAAAATGAGAAATATGATATTCTGAAAGTGTCTTAACTGCTATTTAATGTGATGTAATTTGAAGATTTTCTACGCTTGATTGTTACGTCTGCTACTATAAACGGATACAGAGAGCACTCGGCGTGTTTAATATTACCATTAAATCACCATTGTTTAGTTACTATAGTAAGTGAATGTTAATGAGGCTATGGGAGTAAATATGAAATGAAGAGTGGATGGACAAGGAAGAATATATTTATAAGAAATGCAATATATATTATTTAAGATATAATAATGGTATAGTATATACTTGTATATATAATGACAAATGACCCTGTGACATAAATAACCCGGATATGTGCTCTTTCATGCATGTAACTCTAACGCGGGGTTGACAATTTAGTTTTTGGAACACGTACGACTTCTTTGAAAATGTGGCCCGGATATTTGCCGATTGCCAAATTTTGGAAACTTGAAATATTCATCACCTTGAAAACAGTAAAATGATTTATTAAATTATCTTAAAATAGTTTCAATATCATGATCTTATATTTAACAGCAATCAACAAAACAAATTATAACATCATATTCCCTAGGTTAAGTATCATACTCACTGGCTGAATTTGGGCTTTCGGAATTTAAAATAAAATCAGAATCACATTCAATGACGATACATCAAAGACTATATTAAATGTAACTACGCATGCGTATATCATATTCACTTGCTGAATTGGATTTTCCTTATCAAAAAATCGTTGTTTTCTGCCCCTCTGCTTCTTACGCGGGTCGTTTTGTTTAAAATTACAGAGGAGGGGAAGCCGCAATAATCTTTATTATTATTAAGCTATCTGGGATATTACACACTTGGATATCCATTGGTATAAACAATGCATTTTGGAAAGTGATCTTTATCCTAATGAATCGCTTTATATTGAAAACTAAGTCTTGTAATAACCTTTAAACTCAAGTCTATTTATTTGATAAATGCAAAATTGCAACAACAAAATCAGAAATATATGTACAAAGATATTAACACTAGCCATTCGATATCAACATGCAGGTTAACGGAATAATCTGACTCACACCCAGACTCTATTATATTTAACAAAGGCACACGTTCCGATTAAATCTAAAAAAATATGTTCTGTCAGCAAGCTTTGGAAATCTGTAACCAAACCTTTTAAAAGTTTATAGAATAAAATTTCTAAAACATTACTTTATTAGATATTAATTCTCAATTCTATATAAACATTTGTGGCAAATATTACACCAAACTGAGTTGCCTAAGAACATAATAGGTCTATTGTCTTCAGAATAAAATCTAGCAAGTGTTTGAGAGTGTGTCTCCGAATATGAACGGAGAACAGTCTAAATACTAGCAAGTTTTCTCATAAAAATATACTATCCCAGTTCGACACAAAATAATGTAAAGCTCACTGTAACTGTGACTGAAAACAAATAAGAATATTTAATAATAAAACTACAATATAAATATATAAATCACATAAATCTTAAAGAATAATACAAGTAATTTATATTAAAGGAAAGCAACTACATACAAATCGATGAAACATAGTGTATACTAAAATGGCTTCCCAAATCTGGAAGCAAATCATTAGTCACCGGTAGAAACCGGCGACTATATTTGTAATAGTTTAATATTATACCTATGGTAGGAGATGCCCTTAAAATCTGAAAATAAAAGCATATCAATCATTGAACAATTAAAGACAACAATTATTTTTCAGTAATCACAAAAAATCAAACATATGATAACTTTGCTCAGTGGAATGAAATATGCACATATTGACGTCTTAAAAAGCAACATTACAATTTTCAAAAATGAATCAATAACGTATCCCCAAGGATCAGTCATTGAATATTAGAGATACAATTACTTTTTTCTATGTGTCAAACATTGCTATTTTATAATAAATAAATCATGAATGATATTTGAAATGACTCTTTAGAATTATTTGGTTGTTTATTTTTATGAGACCTTTTATATTACATTATTTTATCTAATTATAAACAAATGCTCCCTGGTCTTTCGTAAGAATCACGTGACTACATGTTTATATATGTTGTATATCGTTATAAAATCTATTAATAGTAACAGATTGCTGATAAGACAGGTAATTTGTTAATGGTGGTAACTGATAAGATGTAAATCATTGTAATTTTGTACAGATAATTATATAAGTTATTTTTCATTAATCAGGTTCATACTTTATATCATAGGAGAAACCTGTTTACTTTAAAAATACATTTTCAAAACCTTTTCCTTTCTTCTTGGTAAAGGGTCTAACTTGTCCCTTTCTGTCAAATATTCGACAAGAAAGTTCAATTGTTTAGTTTAGGTTGAACATCCCAAAATAATGTTATGCTTAAGAGGCACATTATTAAAATATATAATGGTAATCGTTGATTTCGGTATATTCCGTCGGTTTCCGTCACGCAGGTTTCCAAAACGGTATGACGTCAGGGGTCCGGAATCGTATTAGATACATAGAAAAAAATAATAAAGTATCTTTGTGTTGATAGTTTATCGCACTGAAAGGCAATTAAACGTTAATTTTATATATCGTATGTAACGATTGGAATACGTGTATTGATTTCAACTAAATTATATATTTTTTATAGCACATAATAATGATGTACAACACTTTTACAGTAAAATTGTATTGTTTCATGTAATAATTAAACATATATATTTTCATAGTCACTTTGCAAATATTCGATGATCGGTAATTATTTGTCGGTAATTATCTGAATCTGAACTAGTAACCTATACGGATTTCAATGTATAGTACAACAGTATATGTATAAAGTATAATTACAAGAAGAATTACCAGCATAGCACTTGCCATACAAGCCTCAGTGGCAAACATTACTCAACTCATTGTTCCTCTTATTTTTATACTTGAACCATTAAACTTATATTTTCTTATATTTATGATAATACAATCATTTTCTCATCCGGCGACTTGATGCTTTAGCATCAAAATCTCTACTTGTATTTTACTGTATTTACAAGTATTTCACGTACACATGAAAAAAAATGAGTTAAATCTTTAGCAATGATAAAGCCTTGAATATAATAATATCATTCACTTTACCAGAAACACATGCTTATATTGTTTGATTCTATCAACCTGTCAATTGCACACTGATTATATATGGTCAATATACACAATATATTTATCTTCGCTAGATTTTAGGTAAGTATTGCGAGATGTACGCAGTAAGATGATATTAGAAATAGTTATACTGAGTGTTATAGCGCAATACGATAAACTACGTGTTTATAATATCTAAATTTCCTATCGTCCTTGGTTTTTCTCTTCTTATATTTTCAACATCATATAAACTAATATAAGTTTTGCACTTTTTTGGTAAAGTATATACTCTTTTTAAATAACATGGTTCAAGAATTACTATTTAAAATTCATTTGGATTAAAATGTCATTTCTGTGCCGTAAAATACCATACAAAATGAGACAAAACAGTGTTTCAAAGTTTTTTCATGCACCTGTAGACAATTTGCAAGTTCTGATTTCCATTTAAATATACTCGAAATAAAGAAAAAGTTTAAAACAATGGCAGCAATAGGAATCGAACCACAGACGTCTCATATATATGGCGATGACTTAACCGACTGTGCCTGTGCTGTTGCGGATGTGACGACGACCAATACATTAAGTTTGACTGTTCAAAACATAAGTAATATACTCCATATTGATTCTACAGAACCGAAGTGGGATCGGAAATTTTAAATGAGTGCTATGATTTATTCGTAATTGACAGGTCAATAAATTCAGACAATAAGAAAAGGTTAAGATACGATCAATAAAAAAATTAAAATGAACGAGGTTAGCCAAGTTTTATACGGTAAGCCCTGAAAATAGCAAATTCATGTAGACAAAGAATAAATAAAGGCATCAAGATAGTTTTATATAGCCGTGTTCGCTGTAAGTGAAGTTCAATGTATGATACATTTCTTGTCCAAGAGTAATTCAAATCATTATGATAACAAATTGTGCAACACGTCCATCACGTTTTGAAAGAAATTGCCACCAGTTGACATATTGAAAGATAAAAGATACAGGAGTCTGCATATAATTGGTAGGTATGACTCGTCTCTGAAGTATTCAAAAACCGCATCAGCCAGAAAGCTACGCCGCCACACCATATTGCTCGTGCAATTTTGTATCAATTTTAAGCTGAAAAGTAGATACAGCTGTTCGATTTCGTCTCGCCATGACTGGACCATTGAAGCCAGGGTACGACTGCTTTCAGCTACATACATAGCATTCTTTAGCTTCTCACATTTGAGAACTATTGTCTCGCCCTCATTTAAAAGCTCTCGTGTAAGGTCTCTTAGTTCCGCTTTTTGTTTTCCCTGTATCCTTCCAAGCAAAAGGTTTCGGTTTGGTATCATGTAATTTGGTAAATTGTTATTATGTAGACAGTGTAATAAAAACCATAAAGCGTGTATGACACATTTCGTCAGATTTGACGGAGTGAAGACAAACGTTGGATTATGTTCCATTACCCAAAATACAATATTCTTTACCATGTAGGAGCTGACACAGTCAACAACTGGTTTCAGAATATCTTTAACAACCATTTTCAATACAACATACAACTTCAGTTGTGTTGAATTAAAACTGGAAACCAATTTACGTTCCCCAGTAGTAAAGCATATCCTCCATTCAAGGCTTTGTTCTTCGCTGAACTTATGTCCAACAGGTACAATGTAGCCTTCTGTTGTTGAAACATCTTCTATGACATCAGGCGGCGGCCAATCAAACTGCCTGCTACGCTCTGCCCATTCCCGCAAAATTGTAGAAGTATAGTAACGTATGGCAATGACATTGTCGTATGAAGCATCGGTTTGCTTTACGCCAAATAATGCATTAAATTGCAATATGCTGGACAAAGCAGGTCCAGATAGTGTTTTATATCTTTGTTTGTATCCGTCATGCACAGATGGGATATCCATATTTTTGAACATTTCGGAAATAGTAGCGCTGGGAATGTAATCCAAATAGCCAGAATTCAGCATTGAAGGTATGCCTGTGCAATGTCCAGGAACCAATGGTCGTAATTTGGTATATCCCGGAGGACATTCATTCGTATCTGTTACAATTATGAACATTTTGTTCTCTAATCGACCGTGATCCACACAAATTAAGAATTGTGAAACAATCATGGTATCAAAGTCACTCCCCATAAATGGTACCACTCCTTCTGATTTACTTCCGGCTGGAATCATTTCCGTCTGTAAAATACGTGTGAAGCGTTCACTGGCAACATCGAAAATCTCCTTCAAAATATACGCTCTAAATCCAATCATTTGTTCAGAGTAGCCTAGACAGTCCATTGCCTCGCTGAATAATTTTGAAAAACAGGGCGCCATTATTCTGAAATGTAATAAAACCTGTCCTTGGACAGCACATTCACCTTTTCTCAGTTCTGGATAGAAAGATTAAATGGAGAAATGGGTCATGCTTGGAAGACTTTCCTTCCACTTAAAAGAGATTTTTTGATGGCCAATCGTACAAAATAGTTTGGCCCAGTTAATCGGGTAAAAGGTTTTTTATGTACCTTTATCAATATTAAAGGTGGATAGATAAAATATGAATGCATATTTATCAGAATAGTTTACAAACTCTATCATTAAAGTGCATAAATTTCTATCAAAGGTTACCTAATATGTTCAAATGCATATTACACTTTTTCACATTCAAATGTATTTTCGTCATTTTGAACACATTTTTCTGCAACAGTTTCATATCTACCCGTTTCATGTTTTATTATAGCTACTCGAAAACTGGATTTATCTAGTGCAGACTTGTTTTTGTAGAAAAACATAAAATATGACTATATTTGGTGTTATATTTATTTATAGCTTTGAAATTTTAATTTATGATGAGCATGATCTAAGCGATAAGTTTGTTTTCTTACGTATACTCAGGGCTTGTGATAAATTGAATACATTACACATTTATTACACTCGTTTTATAAAACCGTTTGAATTCGCTTCAAGATGCATTGTTCAAATAATGCATACCGGTATTTATTTCAATTAATCTTATGTATTACATTGTTTAAAGCCGTGAAAGTTTGTTTGGCTGCACGTAGCCGTTGATAAGTTTAAATAAATATAAGATACTTGTTTATTTATATTCGTTGACATTTAACTTGAATTATAAGATTTTCAAATACAGATTTACTGTTTATTGAAAAGGGAAAACAGATCCCTAAAGAACGCCGAAAACGACAAAATTAAAAGTTTAATTAAGAGTGTTCATGAACCGTACTGTACTGGAACATGCAAGTTATCATTCACGCCCCCTAGCACCGGCTCAAGCAGAAATCAACATTTAAATATAAAAATGATTAAATTTTGAATTTAAAAACATTCATACGGCGTTGTCATGGATTATTCAATGTGACATTTTTTTGCAATCCATGAAGAGCGTCATATGGTCCCAACTAAAAGAATTCGTGTGTCCTAAACGAGAGAACAATGGGCAGAACTAAAGAAAAATGAATTATATAACAATTTCAATTATCATTCAACAGTATGGTTAATCACTCGCTTTACAGAATTGTAAAGGTAATCTTAATATCAAATTTTTGACCAAAATACAGTGGATAATGATGAATTATGAAAGAGATAATTTGATACTTACAATTGCGTCTATTTCACAACAATCAACACACTGTCAGGTTTTTCTTAAGTCAATCCTTTATACAACCGTAGTATTTCAGTGGTCAAAAGTTTCTTTCTTTAAGCTATAATATATATCATTGTACAAGTCATTAAATGAAATTGCCAATTTTTATAAAACAAAGTTTTAAATTTATGCCGTTTAAAAGAAGTTATAATTTAGTAAATGGAAAATATGATACATAAAATTTTACCTGTTTCACCAACATCAACACATTGGCAGATTTTTCACCAGATAATTCCAATAGAGATTCGGCAACGGTTTCGTTTCTGCAATTGAAACTTCCAGATAAGATATTCGCAGTTTATTGTATGACGTTATATGGAATTATTTATAGATTTGTGTGCTGTTTGTCATATACTATTTATATCGTTGTTAACTTATCTAAGATCATCTATTATCCAACCGGATTCCTGTAGCATATCAGTTACATAATTTATGATAAAACCATTTTACTCTCAGGTATTGCAATAGGTAGCTACCCGTCAAATATTATACTACATGCATAACATTTACAACCAGCTCGTTTTTCATATATATTGTTAAATTTTGTCTTGACACTGTTCCGTTTTCCTCACGGCACGCACTGACAGTTTGAATATACTGAACAAAAAAGAAACTGCCCCTGTGTTTGAGTGCAGATGTACAATGAAAAACAGGATAAAAGGAATTTATATGGATTTGACAAAGTATTTTACTATTTGGTTGCGAATAGGTGGTCGGGATAAAATCGTTTTTCCTTTGTTTGTCGCATACTTAGGAATATTATCCAGATTATTAATAATGTTGAAGAAAAAATATAGAACCCGCTATAATGATAAATGTAAACGGTATCAAATGTCGGCTTTAATTAGGTCTAAGCGTATCGATTATATTGAGAGAAAAAAGACAAACAAAAAAAAAAAAACAATGCGTACTAAATAAATAGTGATGTGTGACAAAGTGCTTTTGAATATTTTTTATAATATATAACAAAGCAACGTGTATATTTTTACTTGCCTATATTAGTCATGAATGGGGCTCGAAAACGCAGAATATGTGTCTGATACCTCGATATACACACATCCATAAAATAACCCTAGTCATTTCAACGAAAGGCCAAGTTCATAAAAATTATTGTTTTCGCGAAAAAAGGGTGCTATTCGAGTTTATTATTTCTGACTCATTTTGAAATTGTCCAATCAGTTATTTCTTCTCGCCCAATGGTTTCAGCCCTAGTGTGCCTTTTACGAAATTCATTTGGATACATTGCAAATATCTGTAGTAATACCAAACTTGTTGTGTTATCATTAATTGTATTAGATAGATTAGTTATAGCAAATTTTTAAATGTGTTGTTGAAATTAAAATATGAAAAAGAGATTAACTGAAATAAGGGTGCTCAAATGCTTTTCATCAATCTACCCGTTTGATCAATCACAATTGTTGACGTTTAACACGTCTGTCCGTTATATGTATATTATTGCCACAGTATAGTTTTAATTTTTGGGTTAAGAGGCCATCCGTTAAGTGACGAAAAACATATCGGTGCAAAGAGAAACGGATATTGTCGAGTCTGCCGATTCCGTGCAAACGTAATAAGAAAAAACGTAAGAATGTGAATATATTATATGCTATTCTCATCAACAGAAAGACGGGTACACGAGTAAAATCTGATACGAAAGCAATGACAAAATTTAAACTATACACATTCTTACATGAATATCGAAAGACCATCTGCCGCAATTCTTCAGAGCGTAAATAAAATGCAAGTTGTACATATGTTTACGTAATACCTTGAAAATTTTGACGAGAGAAATACGAAACTATAAAATTTTGATAACCAAATCGGATTACACGTCGCCCAATATTGAGAAAAATGACAACTATATTGTTTCAACATGGGGAAATAAGAATTAGGTCAGCATTTTGAGAATCTTCTATAGGTGGAATATTACTGCATCAAAAAAAAAATTGTTAATTTACCGTTTATAGAGCTTTGTTGAGAATTCTACATAAGGCGCCTACGTCCATAATACATCTCCCCAAGATTTCCGGACGTTTTCCCCGACATAATTATACAACCAATCTCTGGAAGGGCAGGCGTCCAGGCACATGCATCATTAATAAATGCTAATTCGCCCCATGAGCAGTAATTTAAATCATGACTCACTGGCTTTGTCAACATAGCCCACTTAGCTGATAGCAGCATTCGCCATTGAATGTTTTTATGATCCTATATGAAATAACGTATTCAAGAGCATGTACTGTTTAGGCTGCGACGGACACTATAAAGGAAAACATTTTTTTGTCGAAATCTCGTAGATCTAAAAAAAGAGAAAAATAGATCATTTAACTCTTGTAGTTGGGTAAAGATAGGGATACATACCAATTTTTTTTAATAATAATTAAAGACAAAAAAAAAATTGGATTACAGTAAAAAAAGGTTTTTTAATCACTTACAACTCACAATTGGAAAAAAATAATTATGTAAATTTCGTTCATATTAAAGGAACAAATCATTACCTCAGTTTGATTTACATTTTTTTTCAAGCGTAAGAAGTAGCCACAGAAAATATAAACATGCGTTCTAGTTTAATTCACAATACATAAACCATTCGATACTTCAAAAGCCCAATGAGTAGTAAAGCTACTTATCATTCAATCTAGTAGTGTGGAAAGACGCGAGCCATATGTCATGAGGCACTGAAACGTGATTTTTAAGACCAAGTACAGAAACCACAAATATACCCTATAAGATACACCCCAGAATCAGCTGATACAAGCGGCAACATAAGTACTAAACCGTAGTTTTTTAATCATATTATCTGCGCGTAAAATTCTAAGTATTAAAGCGAAATATCGTCTTTGAATAATTATGTAAACACACTCTCTAGATGAATATCTAATACTCATTGGCACTTCGAAATCAAGTAGTTAACATAATCCTAGCGCATTCATGTCTTCCACATCAAGACGTCAGATGATGTGTCACGATCCCAGAGTCTACGCCCTCTCCAAGAAATTACCGTCTATCCTAACCTCCAGAGGTCAAGTCCGGTAATTATCATTTTAACGATTTTGAAGTTTTTCAACCGTTATCATAAATAGAGTTATATAGTTACCGCATTTCGTGTCTGCGACTGTTTCAGGCATCCAAAAAGGATTAAATCAAGCCCAAAAATAGACTAGGCATACAAATAGCTTTCGCGAGCATCTAAAGTATGGGATCAAGTCGCAGACCCTTACGGACCGGGAGAGACCCCCATATACCCTACCTTTTTTTAACAACGGTCAACTCAGTACTTATTACTAGTTTTAGCTACAAATAGTTGCATTCCATCGGGAAAGAAGAGTTTAAATAATAGTGCGTGCATTTTGGACTGGAGCCCCGTACGCCCTCATGTAAAACTTTAATGTCCATGCAGTGGAAATTGAGTAATAACTGGGCACAAATGGGATTTCTGACCTACACTCACGAGGGATCTTCATGGCGATGTCTAAGTGTATCGCCAGCTAAGGCTCAATTTCGGGTCTTTGGTTTGACGGTTGTTGGGCTAACATGTACGGTCTATTGAATTGTTGCTGTCCCCAACCTTTTACACAACCAATCACTGTTCAAGTTATATAGCTTATTACCCCAAGTGGGCCATGTGTTGGTAGGAAAGTTTTGCATGAAAAATAACACTGTTTATCCGCGTTTCAATCTCATTGACTTATATATTGATGTCTGTAGTTTGTCTGTAGGAGACCCACGTCCCTAAATTTACCGACAGGTCCAAAACGGGGTCAAACCACTTATATTTGGAAGGTTCAACGCTTTAGCCTATCAGAATAGAGAATATAGGAACAATAATACAAACCGAAGAAAAAATTAAAAGAAAATTAGTTACTTTCATCCTCTTTTCTTTCATACTACCAGTCTTAAAAGCGTTAAGAAAACTTTTTTCGGGGCATTCGTCATTAATAAGTTGATAACCCTAAGAAATAATAAAACAGAAAGAGAAAAACAAACATTGTTTGAGAGGGAAAAAAAAAATCAGGGGAAGAAGATATAATTCTGGAAAAATTTGTGTGTTTTTAGAGGTAAGTTTAAAAAAAGAAAAAACCATTTGCGGCCCAACTAGTGATGGTAGTTTAGATGGATAAGGAACACATGGTTTTTTGGCTTTTTTTGAAGTTTTATAATGTCCAATACATATTTATAAGTATGAAGACATGAAGCACATTATGGGCTAAAGAGTAAACACTATAATATCATGTATTTTTAGGAAAATCTCAAGAGGGAAATACGTTTTCTGGAAGGAAAAATACGGGTCTTTCGATACGTAGAGTTTTCTTCGCACCACTATCACAAAAAATGATTGGTGGCGTGGCGCAATCTCTTCGCGTTGGGTAAGGAATATGCATAATTTTGGAAATGTTTGATGAACAATTTATATTCTATAGTACAATACAGAAGTTTAGAAGCGGCATGTTGAATAAGCACCTGAGATGAACATTAATTAATAGAAAGTATCGACACGCCAACTTTCTGATTTCGGCATCACTCAATAATAAGAACGGAAGTAGCGACAACGGAAACCATCATTCACCCACCAGGACTTCTATACGTTATTTCATTACGAGCTAATAAAAATATATAGAATTATCACCCTCGATACCTTGGGTCAATTTAGTTAAAAGAGGACGTATCTTGCCACTGCAGTAGAAATTACATCTTGAAAAAAAGGAACAAGATTTTTTTTATATTACTGCGTTGTGTTTCTTTAGCTGGTGGGAAGTGAGCAAGCCTGCAAGTTAGTGGGCTTTAAGGGTGTGGGTGTTTATTTTCTTTCAGTGTCGAACAGCTTACTTTAAATTGAAATTGTAGGATGAGTTCACTTCTATAGTAATCCAATCAAGAGTAAAGTAACCTTAGTGACACTTAAGCTATTTGAACTTTAGTTATTATTAATTAAAAAAAATTAATGTTTATGTTTATAAAAAACCTATTATTAAAATACCAATTATTAGCATCTTCGGTCTAGCTTTCACTATAGTCAAGTGCTGTTCCTACAGTGTATGGCCCCCATTTCCAGAAGAAAAGGAAAGAGAGGAAGAAGAAATCACCAAAATTTTTGATAAATTTTTTTTTAATGTGAGAGTAATACGTAATGTTCTACAGATTAGAAATATGTTAATGGCAATGTGATAACGGAAAAAGTGACTAACATTGTTTACATTTGGTACATACATACATTTGCTACATGCTTAGGGTGGCAAAATTGGACAAATAAAATATAATGAGACCCATATAAACCTTTCCTCAACCACAATTATTTGACGTGTTATGTGT